GAGTCTGCTATTTGCAGAGAAGAAAATGGAGGCAAGTTCAGCCAGCCTCAGCCAGCTTTGGGATTGGAGTGAGAAGGTCTGTGAGGGATTCGGACTCACTGCTGCCCTCTGCCACCTTCTTCAGGCAGCTGCAGTCTCTGGGAAGAGAAAAAAGGCTTTCTATAAAAATCTGCTTTGGGTTTTCTGGTTCTCCTGAAATCAGTCTCTCTAATTGCCTCCCTATCCCTTCTCTGTCTGTCTGTCTGTCTCACACACACACATGCACGCACGCATTCCTGGAGTACGGCTGAAGGGAAGGAAAGCTAAGTTTATAGAATGTTCTGCAAAGGTTGTGAAATCGTCAATTGGATTTTCAAGATGGATGGTTTCTCCCTAATTAGATTCCGCAGCCTTATATAAACTAACTTTGCAGCTTTATCCCTTCCGATAAAACAAGCCATCTTTTGTTAGCCAGGTTTACAAATCTTGCCTGTGGGGTCACAGAGCACAGAGTCCTCACCTTTCAATGTGCTCTGAGGGCAACGTGAACGTGCGTCTGCCTCAGATAATAATAGGCCAACAAACCCATGTGCCTGCTCAGGCCGCTGCCTCACCATCCAGAGCTCTCACTGAGAGCTTCTTACTTTTTTTCCAAATGGCAGACCGAAAGGGCACGCTGGAGCACCTTTTGCAACATTTTGGACATTCTGGAAAGACAGGCTAGCGCGGCATTTCTCAGCGTGGCCTGATGCATCAGAACCACCTGAGATACATGCCAAGATGTATGTTCCTGGGCCCCCTCCCCAAGACATGCTGATTTAACCTTGGGGAGGGACTAGGAACCTACCTTTTAATCAAGATTCTCTGGTAATTCTGAAGCAAGCTAACATTGGAGAACCACACGGCTCAGGTCCTTCAGAGGCGGAACATGAAGTCCACTGGCCATATGTACAATCCTTTATTTGCAGCCCTACCTGGAGGCAAGCCCAAGGAAATGATGACACTGTTCCCCAAAGATTCTCACGCCCCTGAAGTGCCACATCTCAGAATACCCATTCTCAGGCTGTGTCAGGGTTCCAGGCATCATAGTTAGGGCTGCCTGTCAGGCTGTAAGACACACCCCTTCCTGGTCTGGACACATCCCAGAGCCCAGGGAGATCACTGCAGACAGAAAGGTCCTGGGCAGGGGCTAGGCAGGGGCTGGGCAAGGGCCCCCACACTCCCCAAAATGTCTGAAGCCTGACTCAGTTGGACAAGGAAAGACTGCAGATGAGGAACCGGTTCCCGCGTGGGCACGGGGAGCGTTGCTAAAGCTTGTCAAGGCCGAGGGTGGTCCACCCACGAAGTGCAGCAGGCAGGTGGGGTGGGGTTCCCAGGCTGCTGCGCTGCATGCACAGCATTGTCTGGGGCCTACCTTTAATCTAGAAAGCAATTTTTCTTCCAAGCTCAAAGGAATCCCCAAACTCACCTAATTCATCCTCACTCCGTGCCCTGGGGTTAGATCCTGGTAAGGAACCAGATCAACTTGTCCAGCAGAGTCCATCTCTGGTCAAAGTCAGAATCCCTCAGGATATTTTATAAATGCAGACTTTGATTCCCCACCCCTGACCAAGTGAACTGGGTTCTCCTGGGGTGGGGCCTTGGCCTCTCCTAGTGATTCTGTGAAAGCTCTGAATGTATGGCTGCCTGCAGACAGCACTGTTCCCTGGAGAGCTCCAGGGTTTCTGTTTGTTCATTTTTTTCTAGGAAAGGGTATTGGGAATGATGCCTTCCATGTCAAAGGAATTTGTAATTCTGACGGCCAGAAGTTCTTCCTAAATCTAAACTGTATCCCTCATGCTACAATGTAAAGTTCTCTGAGCCTCTGCACAGCTCTGCTGTGATTGATACAGTCCCCACTTCCTCAGACAGCAGCTGAGGCATGGAAGGGCATACCTCACTCTGCAAGTCCAGCCGTGGAACTGGGCATCAGCCTGACGTTCCTGCATCTGGCTTCATCCCCCACTTTGCCCTGTGGGATTGTGGCTACTTCCCAGTGGACACGCAACAGAGTCAAACATTGTACCTAGGATTCCAATTCAAGCCTGAGATTCCCCCAGCCTCCCACCCAAAGGACAAGGGAGTGGGAAATTGAATGCTCCCGGACTTGCCTCCTTCTCCTATCCCAACACGCAGTTAGAGAACATAAAACCCGTGGCAGTGAGGTAAGGAGGGCCCTGGGGTTATTTCTGACCGTGGCGCAGAGGCTGGGTCTCCTGACATCAACCATCAAGACCTTTCCTGAGCACCCAGCCCACTGCATCCTTCCAGACCCTGGAGGCAGGCCTGTTTCACTCACTGCAGCAAAATCATCACCCTGAGGGACATGGCCCAGCCTTGGGGAGTGGCGACAGGACTCCCCTCGAGGTCAGCCCCCTTTTCTCTGGGCTCTGGGGCAGAAGAAAGGAAGTGTGCGGTCTGGAAAAAGACGGGGAAGCAGGGGACAGACACTGCTGCCTGTGTGAATGCTGTCGGGGGTTTTGACAGTGCGGGGATGTTCTGCTCAGCTTCGGGGCAAAAAGTGTATGGGAATAACTCTGCTTGCCAATGGGACCTTAAACTCCTCAAAGATGGGGACTCTGTGTTCTGTTTGCTTCACTCAGAGCCTGGCTCAGAGAAAGTGCTCATTACATGCAAGCCACCAATACCACGTGGCTTGGGGCCCCTGGTGCCCAGCCCTGCGCTGGATGCACAGCAGAAATGACCCGAGCTGTCACAGCCATGTCTGGGGCAGGCTCTCGCTTTCCAGGCGGCGTTGAAGTGCTAGGCTGTGCTCTGCACTGAAGAGCCAGCTTGTGTGGAGGCAGAGGCCCGCTGACAGCTCCCAGGAGTCCCGACTCCAGCCTGGATGGGGCATCCCCCAGCCCTTTTCTCTTCCCTCACAAATGCCTGGATTCGCCCTACCACATACCATCTTGACTTTCAAACTCATCCTCTAGTTGTCCCAGACTCACTTAACCTCACCCGGGGTTATTTGTGAAGAATCCCATTTAAATTTCTATACCCTATGGGGGTTTCCAGTTTTTTATTTGACTTCTGAGCTATAAGGACCTTTATTGATAATCTGGTTCAGTCATAACTCAGAAGCTGGATGTGACCAACCCTTTTCTTTCTTTAACAAAAGAGAATAAAAGGAGGTATAGTGGAAGATAGCAGAATGTGTCACGTGGGAAAAGAATGAGCACAGTTTCCTGAGACTTTTGTTTCAGTTACACCCACGTAAGTGTATGGGAGTCGCAAAGTCAAATGCGTTTCTTCCTGTGAGTCACAACCACAGAAAGTTTGAAAAACACCAGTCCCACTCACTCATGTTGCCAACACGGGAACTGCAGCACAGAGAGGTGAGGCATGCTGTGTGACCTCAGGGCACATGACCCGAGGTCACGCAGCTGGTGAGGGGCAACACCAGGCAAGCACACAGGCTTCCCTGTCTCCTATCTCAGGGCCCTGCTCACTGCAGCCTATAGTTCTTTGTTCTGAACCCCTGAATACCCAATTCCACCAGTGCTCCCCAGCTAGGAGGGGCCCTCATCACCTGAGCCCAAGGCAGGTGTTGCTGGCAGGGAGGTGACAGGATGGGCACAGAAGGCTGGAACCTCTGGTGGAGCTAGTTTTGCACATGCAGCCAAGAAAGACCTTGACTTTAATCTCAAGAACTTTCTAAGCAATGATTAAATTGGGGCAAAAGAGGCCACTTTATGATGGATGACTAAGAGGCTTTGCAGCAGGTCAGGAGCACTGGTCTCTCCCTGCAGGGGTGGAGGCTGCAGCTAAAATTCCAGGCCATGAGCTGGGCCATTGCCTGCCTGTTCAGGCTGCACTTATGCTCACCTTCCTTAGAGAAAAAGAGTACCCTCCTCTCTGGGAGGTGCCACCTGACTTCTTCTGTGGCTCCTCAGGGTGTCCAATGTTGGAGTCAGAGGAAAATGGGGGTACAGTGAGGGTCAGAAACTAATCCAGCCTCCTTGTTTTATAGGTGGGGAATCCAAGGCTCAGAGAGGCCGAGGGACTTGAGCAAGGTCACAGAGCTAGCTGGCTGGAGGGCCGCACAGGACTCGAATGAAGGGCTCCTTACTCCCAACCCCCTGCTTTTCAGATCTACCCACGAATCACCTGGACATCTTGTTGAAATGCAGATTCATTAGGGCTTGGGCAAAGTCTGAGATTCTGCCCCAGACCTTCAGATCTGTCTAAAGGCTGTAGAGACATATATACCCATTCCTTCCTCACCTGAGCCCTGGGAGCTCCTCCCCAAAATGCTAGGGACCCAGCCCTGTGTTTTGGCTGCACCTCAGAATTAGGAACCATCATTAGTGACACCACAAGTGTGAGCTCACTGCTTTTATATGCACTTGATGGCTGTGGACAAGCACAGAGCACATGGTGCTCTCATTCCCACTCTAGTCCCGTCCCTCAACAGCCTCATCAGGATGGGTGTTCAACTTGCCACGTGCCTGGAGAGGCTCTGGGGGCCGAGAGGGCAGCGGAAGAGAGGTGAGAGCACAGTGGGAGGGACCATCGAGGGGGGGCAAATGCAGTGGGCTAAGGGCCACCAGGAGCTGGGGGCAGGTCCTGTAGTCGGGCCTCACTGCCTGGAGGCAGGTAAGGTGGTTTTCCAGCTAGGCTCCGCTGCCAGGCTATGTCCCTGAACCTGGCCGTGCCACTCACAAGCTGTGTGTTCTGGGGCATGTTAGTTAACCTTTCAGTATCTCCATGTCTTCAGCTGCAATGTGTGGATAATAGGAAAGAATCAAGATAAGCTAATGTATACAAAATATTTAAAACAGTGCCTCACATGTGGTGAGGGCCTGGTACAGGCGAGCAAGTGCTTAACAACACACATTTTATGAGAGCCACAGGCCAGGCTCCTCAGACAGACAGCGACAGGGAGGCGGCACAGAATACAGGAACAAGAGAGAGAGCACGCCTCGGGTTTGTCTTTCACACACGTGCACAGAGGGTAGCCGAAGCTGGGTACCCACTTTTTCAGGGCGCACTCCAGCTCCGTCTTCTCATCCTGGGCTTCCTGGAGCTGGGAGAAGATTCTGGTCAGGAAGTCCTCAAAGCTGGACAGTAAATGAGGTTCATCCTTCTTGAGCTGCAGCCAGAGCTGTTTAACATCGCTTTCACTGCAAGAGGAAAGGGGCATTAACGTGGACTGTGGAAACGGGTCCCCCGATGCGACGCTGACAGCCAGCACACCAGCAGCAGCAGCAGGAGGACAGTGGCTAGCATTTATTGAGCGCTGGCTGTATGCTAGGTGCTTTGTGCATGTTGGCTTGTTTACTCCTCACAGGAACCCATAAGGCAGGTACGGCTACCAACACCCCCAGAGGAGGAGCAGGTGACGGGAGGTGACGTGTGCTGTCTCAGGTTGCTCAGAGGGTAAAAGGTGGAGTCAGGAGTCCAACTTGGGGTGGGCTGGCTCCTTGTTGGCCCCCTTAACCCTGCGCTTGCCCGCTGCCACTCTCCTGTCTACCTGATGGGCTGCTGGCCCTGGGTGTGCACTGCCACGTGCTGGGAGCATCTCAGAAGGCCAGAGAGGAGGATGGATCCCTGCACGTATGAGGACAGACACTGTGGAGCTGAAGGAGAGAGTTTGTCGCAGCAGGAAGGACGGTTCTCACAGCTGAGAGGTAAAGACGTGCCATCTGATGGATGGCAGAAAGCAACTGTCCCTGCAGAGAAAGAAGGAGGATGCGCAGCACCCCACTGGGGCCTGGGGCACTGGGAATGACTGACAGGCAAGAGGATGGGAAGGAGCAGGTCTGAAAGATGCTTGTGCACACATGGAAAGACAAACAGAAAGTTGGGAGGGACAGAGGCAGGCAGACAGACAAAGGCACAGAGTGATGTGCTTGAACCCCTCCCGTGCCCTGCCTTCCCTGCAAACAGGCACACTGGGCATGTGAGTGGAACACAGCAAGAGAGGCGCACAGGGCCTGCTGAGAGATGATCCTGTCCCTCAGTGGGTCCCCTTATCTGATCCTCCAGCCAATCTCCCTTCTACCCTCCCGCCCCCTGCTCCATCCCGTCCAGGTGTGCATCTAGACCCTGCCAATATTTACTCTCTGTTGAAAACCTGGCACGGAGATGACGTGAAGGGACCTGGGAAGGGGAGGTGAGGGGTCATCCTGTTTCCAGAATGAGCTCCAAGCTCCACACACAGAATGTGCCGAGGCTGCTCACCTCACTGTACTGTTGATAAACTGGTGAGGCGCAAAGGCCCTAGAGATACAGGGGCTCAGGGAGATACCACAGGGACCCCCATCACAGTGGCAGGTCGCTCCCTCCAGGACGTAGGCATGGATCAAGTGCCACCTTGTAGCCTCGGCCCCTTGCTTCCCCCGGAGCATGGCAGAGCGGCCAGCCGGGCTGGAGCCTGCAGGGAGTGGCAGGCCCGCCTGACCCACTTTAAAGCTCTCTGGACTGTTCAGTCACGGTCACATCGCCTCACCCAGCCTCCTGGGAAAGGGACACGTCTTTCCACCCTTGATGGAAAACAAGTTGCCACATCTGAGTCGGGGAGGGCACATGTCCCATTTACCAGACCTGGGCCACATGGAGCCGCCTCCTTGAGAAAGGACATGAAGGTTCAGGTCAGCAGGGCTCCCGGGATGCCTCCCAGTCCGTCTGTCTCCCTGCTTCCCAAACGGCACAAACCACAGTGGGGAGCGGCATCTTCAAAGATGCCTGAAGTCCTCACACCTCCTGCTTCCCCATCTGGGGTCCCGCAGTCTTGGCCCTTCCCCTCGTGCTGCCACATAAGCCCACTTCCTTCTTTAACTTCAGTGAGGATAGAAATTGCTGGTCACCATCTTCTGCATATCAGTTTTTGCGGCCACTCCAGAAACCTTCTCCAGAGCATCTCCTCTCCTAGCTCACGTTGCTCAGCTCTGTGCAGGCCTTGGACGTCAGGCCTCAGAGGAACATCTGGTGAACTCTGATTCGAGAGCCCTGCCGGGAAGCGATGGGTGAACAAAGAAGCACCTCTCGTTCTGGTGCCCAGGCCCGCCCATGGCCCTCTCCTTCCCCTCCTCCAGGAGGAGGCGCCTCAGGGTCACCGGCAGTGCTCACCGTGCTCTGGCCTCTTGTCTTGGAGAAACAGGCAGATGTCTAACAAGCTTCCACCCACCTGTACCCTGGTGTCCCAGCCTGCCCCACCACGCTCTGCAGATTGGCATGTCCCGCCCCTCCTGACCCTGCAGCCAGAGCTCCTGCTGCCCCTTCCCATCTAGGCCACCTCCCAGGCTCTCCTAGGTCACTGCCTGTCCCCTTCCTGCTTGGCACAGGCTTTGGCCAGCCTTCCTCAACTCTGACGCAGTCACGCCATGCACATCAGATGCTTTGCTAAGAAATGCACTGGGCTGCAGACACTTGCTCCAGCCTGCACACAATATGCAGGCCCTTCTCTCCTGCTTGCTTTCATCATTTTCACCAGTCCCTTCTCCTCCCAAACTCAGGGGACACCAGCTCCAATCATTAGGTCCTTTCTGCCCCTCCTGACTCACTCAAGACCTAGGTACCCAAAATGAAAAAGCAAAATGCAGTGAAGAGGAGGAGGAGGAGAAGGAGGAGGAGGGATTCCGTGTTACTCAGGCCCCTGTCGGCTTTCCACTTGCTACGGCATCCCTTTTATTTTAACTTATTTTATGTATTTATTTATTTTATTATTTTATTTTATATTTCACGTCACTTCATTTTCAATGTCAGGGCTTGGATATATATGTCTATTCTGAAGAAATTTTTGCCCCCAGAAGGGGCCAGTAGAATGTTGTATTTGAAGTTCCAGCCATCCAAACCCTTCTGCTGAGCTAGTGATTCCCTAAGTGGTGGGCTGGTGAAAACTGGTTAATTTCTTGCCCCGGCTTCCTGGCAGGGTTGGCCTGGCTCAGGGACACAGTGGGTAAATGCCCCACAGAGGGGCCTCTGACAGGAGCCCACTGGGCTGGGATGCACAGCGGCCCAGAGACCCAGGGTTGGCTCCGACAGGGCTGGGAAAGCTGGTGAGCTGATGGTGATGGGAAGCCTTAGGCAAATCTCCCTGAGAGGCCCTTGAGGCCTGGCACTGCCCCCTGATGTGGGACACTCTCTGCTGGGCCAAGGGACAATTGCAGTAGGAAGTGAGGAGAGTGGGAGACAGGGGAACAAAAAATGTAAAAAGCAGGCAGATCCCCTAGACCATAACACAGAGGCAGGCCAGTGCCAAGGCCGAGGCAAATCTCTTAGATGGCAGCACAAGGCCAGCGCCTGGTTGAGTCCTTAGCAAAAAAAGTTATGGTTGAAGGGGGCAGAGGAAGAGGTTGCTCCGGGCTGGGACCCTTACCCCGGTCACTGTCCCCACTTACTCCTCTAACATCTTTTGGGCTCCAAGTTTGTCCATCAGCATTTGGAACTGGGCTTCCTCATCTTCATCCATGCCACTCAGATCCTCTTCCCCTCGGGACTGATACACCTTCTCTTCCTGGAGCTGGGCCACCTCTTCTCCTGTATCTTCCTGCTTTGGTTTACTCTGGCCGAAGAAGAAGTGACCTGGGGGACGCAGGCACAAGCACCTGAATGAGGCAATACTTACCCAGGAAGACCCTGGCTTTCTCAGTTGCCAGGAATCATCTGAGGTTCATGTGAGAGAAGAAAAGGGAAACATCCTATGGCCAGATTCTTGGACACCACGTTCCAAGTTTTACGTCTGTCCTTCCTCCACGGGATCGTGCCAGAGATGCTGGTACCCAGGAAAGGCAGAACGCATGCCAGGTACTAAGGCCTGCTGTGGTTCTCAGTCCTTAAAAGTCTGGCTTAGTACCCTTCTCTTCAGTGATTTCTTCTCTGCTTACAACCCAGCAGCCTGACTGCCTATGCGCCACACTATTATCCAGGCATCCTTACCATGGGCCTCACAGCACTTCACATTTACAAGCTACTTGACAGCTTCGTGTGCTCTTCCTCCACTCTCATCCTGCCTAGTCTCACACAATCTGTCATATCCTACATGCCAGTTATAAGCTCCTGGGGGTCAGGAAAGGCATCAGGTTCTTCTAGGCAAAGTACACAGCACATTGTATGAGGCAGATGCACAGTAAAAACATGCCTGCTGATTTCTCTGACAGTACCTACTCTGATCAATCTGATCTGATGGTGTATCTGGTTGCTGTATCTGGTTTGTGGATCTCAGTTCTCCTCCCTCCTGGTTACTTTGGGAAGGACTGGGCCTGTTCCTCCTAGAAATTCTCCTGACAGCTGGTAGGAACATTAGGAAGAGTCTGGGAGCCTCAGCCAGACTCGGGTTGGAATGAGTCATCTCTGCTGTACACTAGGATCAAGGCCGAAAAGAGGCTGGAAATCTCATCTCAGCTCCTGGTCTTATGTCAAGCCTCCTGCCAGAACGTCCTGCATCCCCCGTGCCATTCTCCAGTGGGAGGGGCCCAGCAGCAACGGTACCTGGGCCAGGAGAGAGGGTGGTGTGAGCGGCCGAGGCCTGGATGCTTCAGCAGGCAGGAAGGCTCATGCTCTATGGACCCTCAGTTCAGGTAGCATAGGAAAGGGTCCATCTTCAGAGCTTCAGGTAGACCCATGCCCAGGGCCCCGGCATCCTCAGAACTTACTAAATCCAGTGGTGAACTCCTCTGGGGTCAGAAAGCCATTGCCATCAGCATCCAGGGCATCGAACACATCCTCCAGCTCCTCCAGGCTGAGGGGCAACTCCTTATGGAGTCTCTGAAAGCAATCCAGACCACACTGGTTAACACTCCAACAGCCCAGAGGGCTGCTGGGTGACTACAGAGCTTGCTGCTGGCCCCGTCCCACCAATGTCACGTTAGCATCCTCCTCCTCCTCTGAATATTATAACACTGACCATTCACTGGGTTGCCTACCAATGTGCTAGGCAATTTGCTAGGTGATTTTTTTATATAAGTATATATGCTTTACATATTTATTTATCAATATATTTATATATCTGCATTGAATTATCAAAATGGTTCTTTGAGGTAGGCATTACTAGCCCCATTTTATAAATGAAGGGTGAGGTTAAATCACCTGTCCCAAGGTTGCCTAGCCAATGAATGACCTTGCCAGGAACCAAGTCCAGTCTGACTCCAAGGCCGACTCTTCACAACAGTAAAGGGTCAACAGTATAAGCGACTGAATCCGTAGTAGGATAGCACCTGCCTGCCGAGGGGCTGCCGGGGTAAATGAGGTAACCTGTAAAGAGCAGGGCTCAGTGCCCGGCCCAGGGGAAGCATTCAGCAAGAAGTAGCAGGCAGGCAGGGTGGGGGACCTGTGACTCCCAGGGCCACTGGGTGAGTGAGCAGAGCCCCCTGTCCTGTCGCGCTGCTCCCCTGTTGAGATGCCTGTGAGACCTGCCCTGAGGGAGGCTGCATGTCCCAGGGCCCAGCTCTGCATGTGTAAGTTTCTGTGGCGCATTTTGGTCCTGCAGCATTTAGGGGTGGCTGCTGTGCCCGCCCGGTCCCTGCTCCCTGCTGGTTCTCAACTAGTTCCTGAAGAGATGTTAACTGCCACTGCCTTAAGGTGTCAACTCCCAGGAGTATTTGTGTTTCTAGGGGAACTGAACAAGGTCATAAACAAATACTGGGCCTGAGTCCAGGCTGATTTGCACCCACAAGGATGGGGGGACAGAAACCAATGAGATGAGGAGCAGAGAGGCTGAGGGACAGACTGGCTGGCCTGTCTGATGTGGCGACCCCAAGCCAGGGCTGATTTGCAGAGCTGAAGCAAGTGTGTGTGCTCTTACACCCTGACAATCTCAGTCTCCAAATGAGGGTTCCCCCAAGGGAGTTCGTTATAGCCCAGCTGACCCCCCTTCCTGCCAGTTACCCGAGGGACAGCTGCACAAAATTGCCGGTGTAGATGTGACTGACAGCTGAAGACAATGAGCACAGGGCTGTAGGAAGAAAGGTATATTCCCACCTGAACAATAAGAGCTGGCAGGTTTGAAAGCCCACAACGTAACTTACAGGAACACTTGGCTTGATGCTATGGTAATCTTCTAGCTGGTAAGATACAAAGTTTAATTTGGCAGGTATGTGCATTAAGGGAGACTGTGCTGCATTACAGAGTGGGAAGATAGGATGATATGGAAGCCACTTAGAAGAACTGAATTAAATATGAATGAATTATTTGAAAAAGGAAGGGGAGTGAGAATGTGTGCATTTGCTTAGCCTACAGCAGAATGTCTGGCTTATCAACAGCCCATAAATCAGCTGTTTCAAAAGCCACAGTCAGAGAACGTGGGGTGGGGAGGGACTCAGTTTTGCAAGCAGGAGGTTTATTAGCTCTATTTGAAACCAAGGGCTACACACTGGAGGTGGGTGGAAAAACACCCAGATTCCAGCTGTTTCCTTGGGGCAATCCTTCCTCCCTCCCAACCCTCAGCCTAGGACTGCAGGGTCTGATCTAAAATGTTTTAGCACATGCCATGCTGGAGCTACCCATGGGCTGGCAGGACCCGGCAGAGGCTGGTGGGACCCTCACATTGCCTTTCACCCAAACCAGCCCCCACACGGGCAGCATACACCCTATGAGCGTGGGTCAGAAAAGCTATGTCGTGCCCACCACAGCGACCATTCTGAGTCTACCAGCACTTCATCCAATCCCAGGCAGCCTTGTCTACATCGCAGGCTGATTTTCTCTTTCCGTCGTCAGTGAAGATGGGGAAAGAATATTATATCCTGCAAGTAATTCCTGCTCTTCACATCCTGGCAAATTAGTCCTCAAGCTTCTCTGGCCTTCTCTGCAGTCCGCACCACGCCAGATTCTTTAATCTCGTGTTATTGACCCCACTCAAAAAATCCTTTAGTCTTAATGACCATAATTATCTCTTATTTATCTTTCTTCTCAGGGCCTGCAGAGCCACATAGAGCCAACTTATTCTGGTTTTGTGCACCTGGAGCTGTCTACATTTTTAACCCTGTGAGGTATGCAAGGTGGAAAGGGACACCATTATTCATTCCATTGTGCAGAAAGCCTGCAAGGCTCTGAGGTTTGCCTCAAATTGCAGCATATACTGGGGCTGGGATTAAAGAACCAGTTCCCATTCAGGGCTTCAGCTAGTCAGAGGGTTCTCTGATGCATTCTTTCTAGAGTTCCCTGGCCGGCACTGCCATTCCACACCAAACACCAAAAGTCTCTCTTGCCAGTAGCACCAAGTGATCCTGAGATCCTGGATCACTTGTACGTCCTGGTTCACTTCCTTTCCATCTAGAAGAGCAGGCAGAGGATCCAAGAGAAATGGGGGAACATCAGCTGCCCCGCTCACACTGCCCATGGCCCATGTAGCTCTCTGGAACCCTGTGGCTCCTTTAAACCCTGGACTCCGTCCACCGCCTTCAAGTCAACTTCAATTCCTGCTTTACTCTGGACTTTCTGCAGTTCCCCAGGTCGGGCCAGGTTGTGTGGGTCCCCAGAACACATTTCCCCCTCCCGTTAGCCTCATTCCAGTTGTATTTTATATACTGATGGATGCAATTCATTGATGAATGTCTACTCCCTTGGTGGACTAGAAGCTCTAGGACAAGAACCCCACTAATCTTTATATACTATTGTGTCCCAGAATCTAGCTCAATCCTAACCAACACAGAGTATTTAGATACTTGTTGAATGAATGAATGAATGAACGAATGAGTGGCTAAGAATGGTGGCAGGGGATCCTGAACTCCTATTAGGGGGCGCTGGTCTAGACCTCCCACATTACCCATCCTGAACAACATTACCACTGACTCTTGGTAAGGTCTTAGAAATTGGATATTTTCCAGGACCTGGGGCTGGAAGCTGTCTTTCAGCAGCAGTGCTAAGGACTCAGGCTCCCAGAGCCTCAGAAAAGTGCTGTCTTCTGCATGCTCCAGCCAGACCCCTCCACCTTCCTGGTCACCAGCCTGGTACCATGCCTCTCGGAGCTTAAAGTGAGTGGTTGCACAGCTTCAAACATGCCCAGGGGAAACTCTCATTAGAAAAGTTCTATCTTTATGGCCAGGATTAAGATCTCCCTCCTTTTGGAGCTTCCACAGCATCCTGTTCAGACCTCTATTCCAGCACCATCCCTCTCTTCCCTGTGGTATGGTGCAGACGCACCAAATAGCTTCAGGATGAGAAGGCGAGGTCTGGGAGGGGTCCTGCTTTATTCTGCTGCTTGCCTTGATGGGCTTGGTTTGGGCTGACTATTTGGCACAGACAAGGGCTCCTCCACCTCTGCATTGCTGACATCCTGGTATGCTTGAGATGTTCAGCAACATCCCTGGGCAATACCCAGTAGACACCAGTAGCACTTCCTTCTCCAAGTGTTTCCATCAAAAATGTCTCCAGGCATTACTACATGTCCTCTAAGAAGCAAAACCACTCCCACTCATATAGACTGCAGGCAGGCAGGAGTAGCATGAGCTGGATGTGTGGGGAAGGTGCCCCCATCAGCAGAAATGCCCTTTCTTCATCTCTGAGGCAGTTCCAATGATGTACTTAAAATCACAGTGTGATGATACAGCCGCTAAGGAAATCCATATTGTGTTTCCTCAAGAAATTAATAATAGAACTACCATATGATCCATCAATTGTACTTCTAGGTGTATATCCAAAAGAACTGAAAGTAGGGACTTAAAGAATAATTATACATCCCTGTTCATAGCAGCGTTATTCACATCCAAGTGTCCACTCATGGATGACAAGATAAACAAAATGTGGTACATGGTTACAATGGAATATTATTCAGGCTTAAAAAGAAGGAATTCTGATTCATGCTATTACATGGGTGAATCTTGAAAACTAAGGTCATGCTAAATGACATAAACTGAGCACAAAAGGACAAATGCTGTCTGGGTCCAGTTATACATGTTCCCTAGTGCAGTCCTACCCAGAGAGACAGAAAGTACAGTGGTTGCCAGGGCATGCAGGGAGGGGCATGGGGAGTTAGCATTAAATGGGGACAGAGTTTCTATTTTGCAAGATGAAAAGAGGTCTGGGGATGGATGGGGGTGATGGCTGCACAGAAGTGCGAATGCAATCAGCACCCCTGAGCTGTACACAGGAATGGTTAAGAGGCTAAGTTTTATGTTATGTGCATTTTATCACAATTTCTAAAACTCACAGTGTGGAGGACACCAGGGACAGAGAAGACATGGGGTACACCCCCCCTCAACCCTTTACAAGGGCATTTATGGAGGGACCTCCAGTCCTAGTATCAGGCTGAGGGCGCTACATGAATACACTCACCTAATTCCCTTCTGATGCCAAGAGGCAGAAGGATGGCCTGGAGGAGCAAAGACCCTCACACAAACTCAGCCAGCCAGTAAATTGCAGATTCAGGATTAAAACTCAGGCCAATTTACTGCAAAAATCTTTTTTTAAAATTTTTAATTAAGGTATGATTGATGAAGTTTTCACAAGAAAAACAATGTGGTTACCACATTTACCCATGTTATCAAGTCCCCACCCAGACCCCACTGCAGTCACTGTCCATCAATGCAGCAAGTTGCCAGAGATCCACTATGTCCCTTCTCTGTGCTACACTGTCTCCCTGTGATCCCCCCACACCACGTGTACTAAACATAATACCCCTCAGTCCCCTTCTCCCTCCCTCCCCACCCGCCCTCCCAACCCCTCCCCTTTGGTAACCACTAGTTCCTTCTTGGAGTCTCTGAGTCTGCTGCTATTTGTTCCTTCAGTTTTACTGCAAAAATCTTTAAAAGTCTTCTCATTAACGTAAATTAGGAATTGGCTCTCTTTTTCTGTAAAGGGCCGGACAGGACATATTTTAGGCTTTGCAGGCCAGTTGGTTGTTGTCATGGCAACTCAACCCTGGATGTGGAGTGAAAGCTGCCACGGACTGTATGGACAAGCATGAGTGAGCATGGCTGTGTTCCAACGAACCTTCACACACAGGTAGCGCCGGATTGGATCGGCTTGAAATACCTGGCTGATTCCTAACAGTCTGGTGAGTCAAGAAATTCTAGGAAGTGTTAGGAGGTGGGCACTTGGCATTGGTAGGTAATCATTTTACTGCTCTAAACACTTAGGGAAACAGGGTTTCCCGGGCTCTAGAATTCCTCCGACTATGAAGTCCATCCCCCCTCTGCAGATGGACTTTCGTCAGTTGGGAGCAAGAAGAATGGAAGCACTGGCACTTGGGGAGAGCTTACCTCTCCGGGTCCCTTTTCAGAAGGACAGCAAGCTTTGCTCCAGGCCTGCTGCTTCACGCGCCTCCTCCAGCCCACCGGTTCCCCTCCTATGTGGCCTGTGGCCTCTTCCTCGGGAGCCATTCTTGCTTTAAAGGGCCTTTCCTAGTGCCAAATTTGTGTGTGCACGCATACTCTGAGCTCTCCTCCTCCCAGTGCCCGTGAAGCTATGTGGGATGGTCAGAAAGGCACAGAGGCTGGGTCCAAGGAGCTGACCACCATGCACAAGGGGGTGACCACCTGGCAAAGCAGCTATGTGGGGAGGACATGCAACAGGCAAAGCCTAGACTCTACCGGGAAGGCCAAGGGCACATGGGCTCTCCACAGAGAGCCCAGGATTGACTAGAGAAGGTCAGAGTTCACATATCTCCTTCAGGCCCATCTTCCCCCAACCTGCCAGTGAGAGTGATAGAGATGGTGCTTAAGTGACAGGCTTTGTTCTCTCTCAATAGCACTTCTTTAGCCTAGAGAGCTGAAATGCAAATGCTTCCTTGTCCACAGGCACCCAGAAACTTCAGAGAACAAAGTCACTGGCAGAAAGAGAGGCCACGGATGCACAAGAGTCGGCTACGAAGGCTGTCTCCCCACCTTTCCTCCTGCCTGGGCCAGGAAGTCTGAGGAGGAAAGGGGCCGAGATGGTATCTCTGGGACCCCATGCTTCTGATCCCATTCCAAGTCAAATGCCAGGGATTTCTTTAATGATGTACATTTAAATCCACCATGGCTTTCCTCCAGTCAAGTGGGCTTCCGTGGAGGTTAAGTGGGAGACAGAGGGGCGGTGTGCTGAGGTGCACCACACATGTGACCCAGAGTTGACCCTTAATAAATGTGAGTTCCCTTTGCTTTCTTTCTAGAGGGGATACTCAAAAGTTAAGCATGCTGTTAAAACCACCACCACCAGCACCACCGCCGACCTGCAAGGGACAATGATCAAGTTCACAGACAGGAATTTGTCAAAGGTTTCCTCAAAACACGCTGTATCTGGCCGTCCATGTGGGGCGAGGTCTGGGAATGAGTCTCAGCGACAGGAATTCATTGAAGGGGCAACCACTGAAAACGAGGGTGGTCTGGGCCCCCATGGGGGTGAAGCCGGCTCCTTTCCCAGTTCGTGTCCCTCAGTCTGGGCAACCTTGGGGTGGGTGGAAGTTCCAGGAAAAGCCTGAGGAAAACCCCACAGGACAGTGTGGCCAGGGAGAGAAGGGCCTGTTGCCCTTCATCCAGGTGACGAGGCTCATTTCTTAGCCTCCATGCCTCCCACCTCCCACCTGCAAGCAGAGGTGGTGCTGACACTAGTGGGGGATCTGAGCTTCATTGCCCAACTTCAGTGTAGTCTGAAAAACTAGATTAAAACCTGACCCTCACACAGCTCTCTCTAAGAGGACGGATGTGTGGCCATTTCATTTCCTCGATCAGACTGAAATCATGACCCAGCATAAGGTGGGTGAGACACCGAGAAGAGCCTCAGACACGCAGTGGACTGGCGCTGGAGCGGGCATGGGCAAGTGCACCCCTGCCGTGAATCAGAGCCCTCGCCTGTTTTGGCACTGCTGGTGAGCAAAGAATGACTTTTACATTTTTTAAATGGTTGAAAAAAAAGTCAAAAGAAGAATGATATTTGGTGATGTGTGAAAATTATATAAAATTCAAATTTCAGTGTCCATAAATAAAATTTGATTGGAGCAAGGCCATGCTCATCTGTCCGCACACTGCCTGTGGCTGCTCATGACACAGGCATAGTGGTGTGGTCATGGGACCGCATGGCCCACAGAGCCTGAAATAATCTCTGACCCTTCACGGAGAACGTTTGCTGAGCCCTGCGCCAGGGAATGGTGTGTGCCGAGGCTGTGTGGCGTCTCTCCCTGGACATGCTTACGAGGGGGCCAAGGGAGGTCGGGTTTGGGGGTGAAGGGCAGGTCAGATCAGCCCAGCAAGGCCCCCCTACAGGCAGTGACGCCTGACACCGCCCCTGCTCCTGAGCCCAGGCAGCGTCTCCCAGGAATGACTCTGGAGCAGCTCAGGGCTCCGCAGAAAAGCAACGAGTTGGCACCTTGTCACTTTGCTTCAGAAGGTTCTTCACCGTGTCTTGCTCAAGTCTTTATGTTGCCGTCACCATTCTCCCCATGATCCTGGAGAGTCACTGAGCCAGAGGGGGAACAACCCCCACGTCTGACAGCAAGTGAAGGCCAGGGAAAGAATGAGCCGGGGTTCGGCTCCCATAGCGTCTGCGCTGACGGCATCTTTTCTGTTGAAGACGTCACCCCCAGCAGGGCAGGCCCTAACCCAAGACAGGGAGCTCATGCCATTGGTTATTCCAGATGGGTGGGTGGGCTGGGAACCCAGCCCCTTACCTGCATGTCCCTCCTGGCGATGAAGCCCTTGCCCTCTGCATCACAGGCCTGGAAAAATTCCTGTGCCTTCCTCAGCACAGCCAGCTCTGCAGGCGCCGGCTCCTGGGTCTCCTTACACTCCAGGTTGTCCAGGAGACTCAGGCGGGCCCCACTCCCCTTTGGCCTGGGGCTGGGTCTCTGGGGTCTAGAGACGGCTCTCCTGTCAGGGGTAGCCATCCAGGCGTGCCAGTTTCTTCCAGTTTCAGAACCTGAACATGGAAGAGAGAGAGAAGTGAGTGAGGTGGGGATGGAGGGGGGCTGAAAAGAAATGACGGAAGATGAAAGGGAAGAGGAGAACCAGTCACCAGAGTACCCTGGCATCTCTTAGCAACCACCTCGTAATCAGCAGACACTCAGGACAAGGGGAAATGTGCCACAGTCGCTAATAGATCAGCCATCCCATCAAACAGAGAAGAGAAGAAAACAGACATTTCCAGACTGAAAGGTCGTGAGCAGAGTGAAAAGGCCTGTAAACAGTTCTCCCAATTTAAACAAACAAGACAGATCCTGATAGACCAACTACCATTTACTGGGAGACAAGCACCATGACTTGGTTTCTGTTTCCTCATTTATTTCTCACATCCCTCTGAAATAAGTATCATCTCCATGTTATTGGTGCTCAGAGACATTAAGTTAATCAAGGCCACACAGCAAGTTACTGCAAAAACTGAGATTTAATTCCAAGCTCATCTAACATGTACTTGACCTTAAGCCCACACTGTCCTGACTTCCCAGCTCTGCCAAGGGCAGAGGACTCCTCTCACTCAGATGCACTGCCTCCTGCATCCCTCACAATCAAATTCCTGGTGAGCTCTCAGCCCATCCTGCAGACCTCCGGGAGCCAGTGAGCACTGCAGTTCATGGATGAGAAAGGGTGTCGTGTCCTGAAGGAGCTTCCTCTGCTGCTGGACTTGCCAGGTCTGGTTTGGGGACACCCAAAGTTGTCTTCAGCCAATTCAGAACCACAGATTATACATCTAGATCAGATTCATAAGCCCCTCAGAGTGTTTTTTCAGCAGATGCAATGCAATGTAATGTCGTGAAGGACGGCATGCAGAAACCTGGCTTCTCATCTAGACACTGCTGCTACGTAAATGACAATGAGCAAGTTGGCACCTTCTGGGTCTCAATTTCTTCATCTGTACAATGAGAGGATTGGACCTATTTGTCCCTTCTAGCTCTGGCAATCTGTAAGTGAAATTTCAACATAATAAAATGTTATTCATGAAGAATTGTGTTAATGGATAAAAGGAAATATCAATATCCTTGGATTTTTCCATCTGAGACGTTTTAGAGGTAGGCTAGGACCAAATTTTAACTATATGCTAATGTTTGAATTTAAAAATATAGATACACTGTAATACATTTTATGGGGAGTGGCAGAAAGTAAATTCCTAAATCATATCTCCTGTGTCCACGGTCAGAACAAAAGTGGGCAATCACTGTATTACCTGGTGGGCTTCTGAGATTATCAGAGCCTGGGGTTAGGCTCAACCACGCCCTGACTCCAGAGTAATCCATGGTTTTACTGCACAAGTTCCACCTACCAGATTTGTCATGAGCTTGAAGACCACCTCTGGCCCCAGAATGAACTCCATGAATAGAGCTTGGACAAGACAGAGCTGACTGCACCTTCTCACGCCATGTGGGCTGGACAGGAAACTCCCACCCGACCCCCAGGACCAGCCCCCACACCCAGGAACTGGTTCCTCTTCATTCCTACCTGGTGTGAACTGGCTGTCACCTCGGCATAGGCAGACTTAACATTTTATTCTGTCTTCCCCAGAGGGCATTGGACATAAGGTCCTGAGGGAGCAGGGCTGTGTCTGAGTGGTTGATGCACACTGCCCAGCACATCTGTGTGCAATGCTGAGCTGAGGAAGGGTTTTTGGATAATAGTGGTAAAATCTGAGCTTCTGTAAATATACAACATGAGCAGACAGCCTGCTGTCTTCCTGCTACCTGGCCAGGATTGTCTCAAGGCGGGGGTCATCCAGCAGCCTCTACCCCCTTCCCACCTGCTGTTCCCAGTAGACTGGACTACTACCATGTCATTCCTTGAGGGTTTTCTATTGCCAGGCCCCTAGCATATTTCATCCTATTGGGACCTGACATCCCTCTACAAGGTAAGTGTGATTAGGATTCGCATCATACAGATAAGGACACTGGGTTGGGGAGACGTTCAGTGACCTGGGTCCAAGTCCAGTACAGAGATGTCATGTAACTGCACTGCACTGCTTCCAGTCATGGGTCCCAGCTGTGGGCTTGTTCTGGAGGGTCTACTCACTCTCAACTGATAATAACCAAGTCACTTCCTAGAGGCATATTTATCCTTTTAACATTTATCTTTCATTCATCCATTCATTCTCATACTGATTACCGGGCAGCAGGCTCTGAGCTGCTAACACTGAGAAACACAAACATGAATAAGACACGGTCCCTGCTCTTAATAAATAAACCTCTGCTGGCAGGATCTCAATCATGGCAACTGGCAGTGATGGACGGTATTTTGGGTTGGGTCCCTCCTCCATATCCCTCCAACAGACTGCATAGCAATCAGCTACTGCTGACCAGCTGTGTGAGCTTACATGCACCTGTGAGCCATTCTGGGCCTAGGAATTAGGAGAGATGACCTCTCAGTTCCAGGTCTGACTCCCTCTGGCTCTCTGCCTTGCCTGGCCCATGTCACAGATGGCACATGGTATGAAAGAGGGGACCTAATCATTCTAAAGAAGCCAGCTACAAGCAACTGGGGAACAGGTACCAGGCCTTACTTGGTTTTAACCTCAGTTCCTAGCCCAGAATATGGGATATAGTCATTGCTCATTGATAGTTGATTGAATAAAGGAAGACAGTCTTGCTGAATTCTTTGCAAAAAGGCCTGAAAACATTTGCATTTGAACCAGATACCTCTGTATATGGGATGTTTAGCTCATAACGAATAAGCCTAGACTTCCATTTCCAGAAAAGATGGAGTGACAGGGACTGCATTCACCTCCCAGTAGACTAATCAAAAATCCAGACAAAATATGTATTTTAAAATTGTTTTCAAGACATTGAACATCAAGCAGTGAAGGACAGTGGTCCTTCAGCATGGCTGCGAGTCGGGTGAGCTGAGTGAGGCGCTTGTATTAAAGGAGGTATTTACTCTCAGTGCTAATCCTACACTTGCACAGCTTCAAGAGTCAGTGTCTTCTTAAGAGTGAGGTGCCTAGGGGACACAATTTAGAGAGGAATCCATTCTCAGAGCTGTGTGTCTGACAGTGATTACCTTCTTAAATTTGTACCCTGGGAGCCTTACTTCACCCGAGTCCAAGGCCTGTTCCTGAGAGATGGGAAACAAACAAAATGAGCCCCATTTTTGCCTAAAGAGCTTTTAGGTCATGGTATAGGAAGGGAGATCCAGGGGGAGCTGGCATACTCCCCAAGTTAAGGAAACACAACATGAAACATAGTTTAAACATAAAGACACAAACAGGCTAAAAGTAAAAGGTTAGAAAAACATATACCATGTTAACACTAGTCAAGAGAAAGCTGAATATTACTATCAGGCAAAATTGATTCTAGAACAAGAATATTGCAAAAAAGAAAGTCATTCCTAATGATAAAGAAGTCAATTCATCAATAGGATATAACAATCCTCAACGCTGTGCACCTGGTACAAGGGTTTTAAAATGCATGAAGGAAACACTGATAGAATGCAAGGAAAAACAGATAAATCCACAATCATATTCGAAGATTTCAATATCCCTCTATCAATATTAATAAAACAAGTAGATAGAAATCAGCAAGGATACAGAAGTCTTGTACAACATCAACTATCTTGATCTAATTAATATTTATAGAATAGTCCACCAACAAAAGCTGAATAGATTTTTTTCAAATGCGCATGGAATATTTACTAAGGCAGTTCATATTCAGGTCCATAAAACAAGCTTAAATTAATTTAAAAGCATTCTAGACATACAAAGTATGTATTCTAACCACAACAGAATTACATTAGTACCTATAATAGAAAGACCTCTGAAAAATTCCCAATATGTAGAAACTATGTAATGTACTTCTAAATAACCCATGGTCCAAAGAAGAAATGAAAAGGCAAATTAAGAAGCATTTTGAAGTAAATGAAAATAAAAGCACAATATGTCATATATTGTAGGATATTACGGAAGCAGTACTCAGTAAAAAAGAAATTATAGCAATAAACACAAACATTAGAAAAGAAAGGTCTCAAATCCATGACTTCAGCTTCTACCTTAAGAAATTAGAAAAAGAAAAGCAAATTAAGCCCAAAGCAAGGAGAAAAAATAATTATGTCAGAGCAAAAACTAATGAACTAGAAAACAGAAAAATAATAGAGAAAATTAACAAAACTAAAAGCTGGTTCTTTAAGAAGATTAATAGGGAAGATACAAATAATATTAGGAATTTGAAAGATGACACATTATAACTTCTACAAACATTAAAAGGCTCATAAGGGAATGTTATGAATAAATTTATGCCAATAAATTGATAATTTAGATGAGATAGACATATGCCTTAAAAAGCAGTAAATATTAAAGCTCAATCAAGAAAAAAATAGATAACATGAATAACACTGTGTCTAGTAAAGAAATTGAACTGACACTGAAGAATCTTCCTGGAAGAAAGCTCTAGGCCCAGATGGCTACATTGATTAATTCTACAAATATTTAAAGAGAAACTAATACCAACCCTATGCAATCTCTTCCAGAAAATTGAAGAATATGAAATATTTCCTAAAATATTTTATGAGGCCAGAATTACTCTGTACCAAAAACAGGACAAAGAAAGATATTACAAGAAAAAGAAAAATATAAGCCAATAAACTCATGAATATAGATGCAAAAGTTCTTTAGGAAATTTTAGTAGATTTAATCCAACACTACATATAAAAAGAATAATATATCATGACTAAGTGGGATTTTATTCTAGGAATGCACGAATGGTTTCACATTTGAAAATCAACATAATTCATCATATTAACAAATTAAAAAAGACAAACTTCATGATCATCTCAGCAGATGCAGAAAAACATCTGACAAAAGTCAACATCCACTCCAAATGAAAAAACTCTCAGAAAACTGGGAACAGAAAGGAGTTTGCCCAACCTGGAAAAGGGTAGCTACAAAATACCAATAGCTAATATCATATTTAATGGTGAAAAAACAAATGCTTTCCTTGTATGATC